GGGAAGCCTGCTTCTCCCTCTCCCACTCCCCCTGCTTGTGTTCCCTCTCTCACTGTGTCTCTCTCTGTCAAATAAATAAATAAAATCTAAAAAAAAGAGTATTTGCCCTTATTTTTTTGGAGCATTTTTATAATAGTTTCTTTAATATCATCTAAAAATAATTCCAGTGTCTGTCATCTTGGCATCAGTGTTTGTTGATTTTATTTTTCTCATGTAAGTTGAAGTTTTCCTGGTTTTTCATATGCCAAATAATTTCAGATTATATCCTGAACATTTTAATATTATAAGACTCCGAATTTTGTTAAGTACTATGGAGAATGTCTTTTTTTTTTTTTTTTTTTAAGCAGGCAAGTGACTCAACTGGATTTAGACTGCAAATTCAAATTTTGACTAGCCTTTTTTTTGATGTGGTTTCAAAGACTTTGTGTTATGTTCAGATTTATCCTATGTGTGTACCACTCAGAGGTAATCTGACTCCAGTGATTTATTCTTAGAAGTACTTGCTGCCAGTATGATCATATTTCAAACTCTGGTCTTCTTTCTCAATTTGCCTGCTGCTATTTAATTATCAGAATCTTCAAATACTCCATGCATTCTGTCTAGATTCAATAGCTTTCAGAGGGAGAGAGAGGGTGGAGTGTACTTGTTCTATTTTACCCAGAATTAGAATCTCATATCCTTTAACTTTTGAAAGCTTTTTACTTGTTGCTTAAAATATTTCCTATAACATTGTCTGCTTCCATTCTGTCTAGTCTCTGATTTCATATCTCTAAGTAGTTGTGTGTTGGATCTCCTAATTCTAATATTCATGTTTTTTTTCATGTGTTCCATCGTCTTATCATTCTTGCCACATTCTCAGTAACATTCTCAGATCTCATTTTTTCGTCTTAAGATTTTTTTTGTCTTAAGATTTTTTGTTCGCTCATTTTCACTTCCAGTTTATCTGTTGCTTTGTATAGCCAGTGGTTTTTAAGTATTTTTTTTAAACATACTTTTATTTCCAGAAGTTCTATTTGATTTTCTTTGAAACCTGCCTAATTTTTTCTCATACAATTTTGTTCTTTCATTATTTTTTTGTATTCCTTTACAAAAAATTATTAATCATTCAACATACTTATTTTGTACTTTCTATCACATTTTTGTAATATTCTGAGTTCAAGAGATACTAATGCTCTTTTTCTGTGTGTGTGCCTCCTGGCTGTCTTTCATGGTACTTTATTTCAATGTTTGAATATTATTTCAATGTTATTATTATATTGTGATCTTTTCCTTATCAGAAATTTTCCTCTTAGATGCTAGAGGCTTAATAGAAGTTTTACATTTTCTTCTTCAGGAGACTCTGGGGGGTTTATTCTGATTTCTGACTATAGAATTCATACACCAGTGGGGAGTGTAATTTTGGACTGTGTATCTGCAAGTGGCAAGGCTTGAGAATTGACATTTATTATAGATGACTTTATTTTCCATCTGTGGTCATGTGCATCTGGAAGGCACTTTTGTCACTTCTTAGACCAATGTACAAAATTTTTAAAGTTTCTTTTTATATACAGCATAATCCTTCAAAGCTTCCTATTTTTATCAGAGGGACCAGTAGCATCTTCATCTCTTCTGGCTTTGCCCATAATTCATTGTTTCCAGTTCTTGTGTGGATATTAAAATCCTACCCCATTGTCTTAGGGCCCCTATTAAGTCTGAAACCCTGTGTCCCACCCTCTCCCAATCATTGCATTGGCGACTCCTTTCTCCGCCAATCTTCAGCTACCTTTTTTCTCATAGCATCTGAGAATTTTCTTTCTTCTTATGAATAAAAAAATATTAAACGTTTCATTTGGCTTTGTGATGTGTATATGGTAGAAGGGAATCCTCTAAGGGTCAGTAGAATCTTCCATTTTGACTGAACTTTTCATTACGTGGTTAGTATTTGCATTAGTTTTCTATGAATGCTGATCACAAAGTTAGTGGATTAAAAGAGCACAGATTTATTATTTTATAGCTCTGTAGCTCACAAGTCTAAAATGGATCTCACTGGGCTAAAGTCAGGGTATTGGCAGGGTTCTGTTCCTTTCTGAAGGATGTAGGGGAGAATCCTTTTTCTTGTACTTTCTAGCTTCTCAAGGCTGCCCACCCACATGCCTTGGCTCATAGCCCTTCTATATATTTCCGTCATCGTAGGCAGCAACAGCAAAACAAATTCTTCTAATGTTTTGCTACTCTGAACTTCTGTTCTGCTGTCCTCTTGCACATATAAGGACCTTTGAGATTATATTGGCCACACCCAAACAATCCAGGATAATCTCCCTATTTTAAGATTACCTGAATAGAAATCTTAATTCCTTCCTCAACTTTAAGTCCCTTTGCCATGTAAGGTAACATTCACAAGTTCTAGTGATTAGGACATGTATTTTTGGAGGGTGGGAAAGGGCATTATTATTTCTGCCACAATGACTGTAAGCAAACATTTTAACATTTTCTGAAGGAAGTTTCAGTGTATGCAGATTTAATATATAAGACAACCACAACATAAAGGGATGAGGATAAAGGGACCAGTATGTTGGTAAAGTTTCTACATTCCAATTGAAGTGGTAGCATATAAACTTTAGAGTACATGGTGAAAAGTTAAGTATGTATATTGTATTCCTTAGAGCATCAATTTAAGAAACTATACAAAAGATATAATTACAAGGCATATAGATAAAATGGAATATTAAAAATACTGGCTTTTAGTGGGTGGAAACCAAGATCTATTTATCATCCTACAAAGCACAGGAAAGTCCTAACAAAGAAGTATCCAACCTCAAAATGTCCATAGCTCTAAAGCTGAGAACCTCTGCCCAGGTTGATAACCATGCCCTAGCTAATACAATGATTCACCTTTCTTACAGTTTTCCAAAGCTTTATACTTTAGTTTTATAGAAATAGCTCTCTCTGTCTCTGTAGTCATATTTTAATGGTTTCCATAACTTTAATTAGCTCACATAATTACAGTAGCAGGTTAAACTGCAATAATTTGGGGTATAAAATACTAGTCTTCTGGAGGGAGCTTAAGTGTGTGTCTGGGGGGGGGTGCTAGAGAAAAGCTTATCAACCACCAGCTTTCAGCATGTAATATGTGAACATCAGAGAGATTGGAGAGTACTCCTGATTCTGTGATTTGATTGAGTACCTGTAGGTTAGGAGAACTTCTACATGTAAATATGTGTGTATATGTATATTTATTTTTCCTTCTTATTTTATCTTCCAGTAGAATTTTAAATAATGGGATTATTTAAAATTTATTTTATGTAACTTTTGTAGATACTTATTATAATCCAATATTTTGGATGTACGGCTATAGAAAGATCTTTAATTTTCTGATGAGTTGCTTCCTTTGAATTAATTCAATTCAATTAGATTAATTTTATTTTGTTTTGCAAATTTAGGAAATTTCATACAACAATACTTCATTAAGTACTGTAATATTTCTTCCTTAAAGTTTACAAAATTCCAAGTGGAATTAAGTGGAAAATTTGATAAAGAGAGATATTTAAAAATTAAATGGAAAAAGTTTCCAGATTGTGACTTTTTTCCTTAAAAATTCCAAATATAAAGCTAAAAATGTCCCCCTCATCCCTTTATAGTATTATATAGTACATATGTCTCTGCTGGAGACTCAGACTCCGTTTTGGTAACTAGCTGTGTAGGATCCTGTTAGAGAACTCAGAATCTACTTGTTTGGATGGAAAGTTAAGAAACTCAATTGATCTTTGGAGCAATTAACATTTTAATCACTTTTGAAACTCTCACTTTCCACTATGGGCATTGAATGTCATTATTCAAAATTTACCTCAAAATTTTAGGGCTGTGTTGAAAAATATTATGTACAATTGACCTTAAGCATACTTTTGCCTGTTGAGAATTAGATCTTAGATGTCCTTACTGTTATGGCCCCAGCGTGAGAAGGGTGAGAAGGGTGGGTAGAGCCTGCTTGAGTGTGGTCAACAACAGGGTGGCTCTTCTGTCTTGCCCAGGCTCTGCCTTCTGCTTAATTCTCTTCTCTCTTTTTCTCTTATCCATCCATCCATCCATCCATCCATCCATCCATCCATCCATCCATCTATTCATCTACCTACCTATCATCTCTCTCTTCTTTTCGGTGTGAGCAGGCACGCTGGCTCTGGTGCCCTATTCTCCTGCTGTGTGTGCTTGCCCTGGAGAACCCGAGCCCGGTTCTTCGCGTTGTTTGGCAGGGGGCGCGCGAGGTCCCGGAGCTGTCCAGCAGTTCCAGGATAAGTTCTCCCCTGCGCGCTCCGCGCTAGGGAAGCTCTCCAGCGCCCCGCCCCGGGCACGGAACCTCTCCCCCAGGGCTGCCAGGGCTTCCCAGGCTCGCCACCCACCTCTGCCAGTCTCTTTCTACTTCGTCCAGCCCCACCTCGAGAGTCTAGCTTGCTTTGGCAGCGCTTCTCCGCATGCCCCGGAGAGGGAGTTCCTTTTCCAGTCTCCGGGGCTGCTTCGGAGCCCAGTGCACGATTGTACACCGGCTTCCCTCCTTTGCCTAAAGGGCGGCCGAGCGCGTCTCCTAGCCTCGCCTTCTGCGACTGGGTGGTCCTTTTTCTCCGTCCGTCTTTCAAGACACGCGCCCGAAATCGAGGGGTGAGAGCAAAGACCGCCCATCAACTTAGCATCTTGAATTTAGACCTTTCCCGAAAGAAGGTTGGCGTTGCCTGGGTCCGCGAGTGAGGGAGGTAGGAGGGCGCGGCTGCAGCAGCTCCGGGGCTCGCCGGACGGGGCTTGGAGCCGGGGCTGGAGCGGGACGCGCAGCGCCGGGCCTCGCCCTCAGAGGTCCCTCCCTGCCCCTCCTCTCCCCGCCTCCCCGGGCCTGCCCCTCCCGCTCCGGGGGAGCCGTCTCTCCTCCGCGCGTCTCCGGCGCTCTCTCCATTGTCTCTGCCTTTACAACAGGTTCGCGCGGCGGGGGAAGACGGGCGGGTGCGGGGCCGCCCCACCCCCGGCTTTCTTGGGGCCGCCTCCCTTCCTCTGGGTGTGCGTGCCTTCGGCTGCTTTTATTCAGCTCCGGAGCTAATTCCCCGGCGGAGCAGCCCCCGAGCGTGCCCGACCCCTCCCTCTGGGCCCCCGGGCTCTGCCCGCGCTGCCGCCTCGGCTCTGCGTGTGGGAATGATGTGCGCATTGGAGGGTCTAAGTTCTTCACGTGCCTGGGGGGTCTTCCCATTTTTTTCTTAGGAAACCAAATCGTATTAATCCCACTAATCAGTAAATGCGAGGCAGCGGCAGAAGGCACAAACGCTATTTTCCCGCTTGATTCCGAGAACCTCTTCGATTTTTATTTTTATTTTTAAAGAGGGAGACGATGGACTGAGCAGATCCACACCATGGAGTCTCGGGTCTTACTGAGAACAGTCTGTTTGATCTTCGGTCTCGGAGCAGGTGAGTGGCCCAGAGCTGGGGCGGGGGGAACGGATGGCCCTCGCCTCGGGGCAGCTGGACTGACTGGGGACGCCTTGCTTTTCCTCCACCCGAAGTAGGTCTGGAGTGGGAAGCTTGGAGTCGCGGGCGGGTTTGGATTTGGATTTTTCTGAAGCTTGCCTTGGTGATGGCAGGGCCGGTCACACCCCTAGTCCAGGGTCTAAGGGCCGAGGGGGAACTTTGCACTGAGAGGGGTTTAAAGTAAGTCAGGGAAATGGGACTGGGTGCTCCGCTATTTAAAGCTTGGCTGCTGATCTCAGGTAAGGCTCTGCGCGGTGGAGGGAGTCGCCTCTCTTGTCAGTTCCCAATACTGTCTCCAAAACGCGGTTTTTTGCTGCCCTGGAGGAAGAGGCTTGTATTTTGATGGAGCTTTTTCTTTCTCCCCCACCCTCCCCACCAGTTTGGGGGCTTGGTGTGGACCCCTCCCTACAGATTGACGTCTTAACAGAGTTAGAACTTGGGGAGTCCACGACTGGAGTGCGTCAGGTCCCTGGGCTGCATAATGGGACGAAAGCCTTTCTCTTTCAAGGTATGGAGTGCGTGCCGAGTCCCCAGTGCGGTTTCAGTTCGGGTAACCCCGGAGGAGTTGGCCTCACAGCTCCTCCTAACTTCTATATTGCCTCATGGATGGCAGTATCTGGAGCTGAGACGTGGAGGGGTTAACGTGACACACACACACACACACCCCTTCCATCTCTTTTTAAGTGGTTTGGTTTTTCTCCCCTCCCTCCCCCTCCTCCTTACTTTGTACTCTTGCCAGTTCTAATGGATAGTTCCTTAATTACTGTACAGAAACTCCGATGGCAGATGGTTGATTTTAGAGTCTGGGGAACAATGAATTATAGCACAAACGCCTCATTTGGGTGAAATTGATTTAGGTAGAAAATAGGATAGCTTAATCTTAGTTAAGACACGGCTCTCTGAAAGTTTCAGGTACAATGGTGCCTGGTTGGGAGGAATTTCTTTATGTGGAGTAGCTTTCTGGAAAAATGAATACCTCTCAATAGTTTTATCTACTGTATATCACAAACGTACTATATTTGAAACGACTCCTCATTGAAAGATCATGATTCTACTCCATCAATGTCAAGAGAAAGAGAATAATATTCTCTTAAATATTATTTTGAAATCTTTCAAATAAATTTTAATTCAAAGGTATATCTTGTATCACCATTAATCGTATACTTAATATTATAGAACTTTTTTTTTAAATCAGTGGGTGTTGGCCATGCATAAATGTCTACATTTTAATTTATATTTAAATGTGTAGTCAGAAGCAAATTCCAATGCATCAAGCCATCACCTTGATTTACCAAAGCTTTTGAATATTGTTTGGTTTGTGGAAAGATGGAACATGAGATTCTAAAAGGTGGCTAAATACATACAGAGAGATTCATTTCACATATGGTGAAGTATAGATGAAAGCAAAAGAGAAATGAAGTTTGGTTTAACATATCTAATGGACTGACTGAAGCATCTCCCCAGCCATCCAGATTTTTCTTTTGTGATTTTGGTACCATGGGTTCAAGAGAAGTGCAACTCATAATTACTGAAGAGTTGGATATGCAAAATAAAACCACTTAAGCAAATCTGCCACCAAGATACAGACATAAAATAAAACTTGAATGTCTCTGTAGTGGTGTTGTTGCCTGATATAACCAGTATGTGTCACCATGGACAGTAACACTAAAGCTTACAATAAGAAAAGGAGGAAATTGACATGTGTTGCATTTATTTAAAACAAGTTTACTCTTCTAAAAAATTAAAATGTAATTTTCTGTTATAATTATGGTGAGCCCACTAAATGTTTTTATTGTAACAAATATTTGTGATAATATTTTATTTACCTACAGGTCTTTTTTGGGGAGGGTTGGGGATGCAGCTTAGATTTTGAATCCCTTAAAAACAATGACTAAATTTAATAAAGGAAATAAGACCAGAGTGCCAGCAAAATTCACAAAGTAGAATAGAAGTGTCATTAGGGTTAAGCTTCTGTTTTTTCTTTCTTTCTTCTTCTTTTTTAAAATCTCTGATTTTCAATTCCTGTGAACTGGAAGCAAAGTTATCTCAGGTCTGCTAATTTGGGTAACTGGAAAGCTTTACAGAAGCTAAAGCTCCTAATAAACAAATGGTGTTGAAGTGCCCTTAAAATTTCCAAAGGTCCTTTAAATTATACTAGTGTTCTTCTTAGGTTCTTCTTAGTTTCCTCTGAAGAGTATCTGAGCTGTCACAACTAGAAACCCTCAGGACTTGCATTTTGTGGTCTCGTGCTAGACAGTTAGACAATTTCTAGGAAATAGTCTAAGGCACTAATATCTTTTCCTGGTTAAGTTTTTTAAAGGAATGTTGAGTATTCATCTTTATTTAAATTGCCAGTTCTTCAAGGTAGGCATTGTGTTGCAAATGAATTGTCCATTGTAACTACATATCAGGGCACATAGATGAATTGTTTTTATGTCCTTGTTGGTACCAAGCCCTACACTTAGAGTGAATGCCTAACAAATATAGTTTTTGAGATTTGAAGATGTAAAATTTCATTTCCTGCCAAATTATGAACCTTATTATTTCATATAGCCAGTCACTCAGCAAATATTTGCTACCTGCTGTGTTCTCAGTAAGCATATATTACTGATCTATTGATTATGCTGTAATAACTTCTCTTATTCTAAGACTCAGGTTATGAATTGACAACAGGTGGATCTTTGGCTCTGTCTGGTAGTTTTGCATTACCTCTTAAAAAGTCAGTTCTGACTCCTACTGCTTCTCTGGGATTCCATGGGTTCTAGAGAGACAAAAGCTTTCAGGCTCTGGAGATTTTATGGATTTGATTTATGGTGAATTCAGAGTGCTGCAGATATTTTTGTATAGTGTGTAAAATGTCATAGTAGGATAGTAACAAATTTCAAAACCTGTGAGATGCTCTCAGATTTCATATAAACCTATCAGATAAGTTACTTTGTGCTATCAGATATGTTCTATATAGATGGAAGAGATTTTGAACCAGGAAATTTCTTCTGCAGTGCTATAACCATCTTCTTTTGTTTCTTAGCTTTAAAATAAAGAAATCTCAGCATATGATTTCCCAGTGATTTTTGCTCATTTAATATTGCTTCTCCTTTTGGCTACTTCATTATTCTCTTTAGTGGTATTTAAGATGCTTACCATTCATTACTTTTTGAAACTATAAATAATTTTTGTAAATTATTGTGCAATATGAACTGATTAATTAGTAATTATATTTTATTATATATGTATAATGAAAGCAAATGGAAATATATTTATTTCAAAGTCATACCTGGTTTTTATCATAATAGTAACTATAGTATCACTAAAATTGTTTTGTTGTTGTTGAAATTTGATTTGTAGCTGCATTGGAAATTGAAGTAAGAAGATGCTAAATTAGATCATCCTTTAATAAATGTGGCTTTTTATCTGTGCCAATTATAATCATTTTCAAAAGGAAAAAGTATCCAGGCAACAGTTTGGAATCTACATCAAAATCTTCTAAGTATTTCTAGCAGCAGTCTGACTCATAGCCACAAAAATACACTTACATTTTAAAAAAATAGAGGACTGAATGCTGACAATGAAAAAGACCTACAAAGGCTCCTAAAGAGTTCTGAAATTTTAAGGATTATGCAATTATAAATAGAATCCTACCTGCCTTGGTTAAAGTCTAGGAGGTATTTGTAAAGACAATGTTCATAATAATCTTTCTTCTCTATACATGAGAGACCAAGAATGAACACATAAGAAGCACAGTTCTGGGACTTTCTAGCAACGTTAACATGATTTTTAGATCTTTGGTTTTAACAATTTGTCTGGCCAGATTCCCAAAGTTGATAGTTTCATCTGTTGGTTTAATAAAACTTCTTCTAAGGTATTCACAGATTTTATAATGCCATTAATCCCCACAAGAGAAGTAGATAAAATCAAAGCGTATTTTTTTCCTGAGTTGGTAATTTGAAAATAAGTTCAGTAGCTATTTTTAAGGAACTTTAAGATTTAAAGATTTTATTTTTTTAAAGATTTTATTTATTTATTTATTTATTTGAGAGAGAGAGAAGGAGCAGGGGGAGGGGCAGAGGGAGAGGGAGAAGCAGACTCCCGCTGAGCAGGGAGCCCAACGTGGGGCTCGATCTGGAACTCCGGGACTCCGGGACTCCGGGATCATGACCTGAGCCAAAGGCAGATGATTAACCGATTGAGCCACCCAGGCGCCCCAAGATTTAAAGATTTTAAAGGAAGGGGTGCCTGGGTGGCTCAGTTGGTTAAGCATCTGACTGGTGATTTCGGCTCAGGTCATGATCTCATAGTTCCTGAGATGGAGTCCTGCAACGGACTCTGCCCTCAGTGGGGAGTCTGCTTGAGAGTCTATCTCTCCCTCTGCCCTCCCACCAACCCCACTCATGGTCTCTTTCTCTCTCTCTCAAATAAATAACATCTTTAAAAAAAAAAGATTTTAAAGGGAAAAAATGTCCGTAAGTCTACTCATGTCAGTGTTTAAAAATAGGACTGAAATTGGGCGTTTGGTGGTGGGCCATTGACTTTAGTAGGTAAAGGTAACTGCATTAAGGAAAGTGAGGTTAGGCTGCAATGAGTATTTGTCAATATGATGGTCAGTGAACATCTGTGTTCTTAGGGACGATGGTCATTGGTGCCCCGATAGAATAGAAGTACACAGTGACAGAGATGTGCTTAGAAACCAGATAGACCCAGTGGAATCTCATTAGTTGTTTTACTGTGGTGAAGTTACTCAATTTCTCTGAACTTCAGTACCCTCAATTATAAAATTAATACTGTTTTGAGGCCTAAAAGAGACATGTTCATTCATTCAAGTACATTTTTGCCTTGCAATTCTGTTCTGCTAGGTATTAGGTATATAACAAAGGAATAAGTTAGAACTTTACTTTCAGAGTGTCTTAAAAACAGTCATTAAACAATTACACAGGTAATAATTTAATCACCATTAAGATAAATGCTATGAGGAAAAACGAAGAATGCAATGGGAAATCTATACTCTAGGGAACCCCAGGGTCAGGGAGACTGTCTTTGAAGAAGAGTCATTGGAGCTGAAAGCTGAAGGATAGTAAGAGTAGTCTGAAGAAGAGGGGCTATGAGGATTCAAAGAGGGGAGAATCAGAGAGACAAAAGAAACAGCGTGAGCAAAGATCCCGAGCCAGGAATGAGCATTGTGCTTTTGACAAAATGGAAGAAACTCCGCTTAGTGGAAACAGAGGGTTTCGATATGAAATGACACAGATGAGGAGAGCAAGGACCAGATTACACAGTGGGCCATTTTAATAGAAGAGAATTGAAAATTTATCATTATACAAAGATATATTGTAGTAGGCAGAATAATGATCCCTCAAAGATGTTCTTGTCCTAATCCTAGGGACCTGAGCCTATGTTATGTTACCTGTCAAGGGGGAACTAAGATTGTCCATAAAATTGAGGTTGCTAATCAACTGACCTTCAGGTAAGAAATATCTTCTGGATTATATGGGCTGGCCCCATGTAAGCACAAAG